TGGGAAAGCTGGCACCACCACTCCTCTACTGTGAGGTGGAGTGGGTGTGGGGTGAAGCACCTGTGGTCAGGGGTGGGTTGTGGGGTTGGGTGGATGGGCGAGCTACCTCTGTCCATTGCCAGCTATAGCAGTCAGAAGTGTGAACCCAGAACCTCACCTGGGCTGGCCCTGGTTGAAGGGGAGCGGATAAGGCAGCCCCAAGGCTAGGGTGAAAGAGAGCTGGCCTCACCACCCATTTGCTGTGAGGTGGTGTGAGTGTGATTCCCTGTTCCCCCACCTTCACCACCTGTGGCAGTCCAGAGAACTGAAGTCATGAGAGTGGGTGAGCTGGCTCTGCCCCTTGCTAACTGTAGCACTTGGGAAAGGAGGCCCTGCACCTCGTCTGGGCAACACAGCAGAGCTGGCTCTGATGGTGAAGGCATGAAGAAGCCAGCTCTGAGGGTGTGAGAGCAGGAGAGCTGTCCCAGCCCCTCACAGCTGCAGCACTTGGGAGAGTGGGCCCCTGAGCCCTGACTGGCAGCACAGTGGAGCTGGCTCTTCAGGTGTGGGTGCTGGTGAGCCATCGCTGAGGGTGGCACTGAGTGGCCTAGCCAGAACAGTTCTGGAGAGCTCGCCCCAATGGTGTGGACAAGAGAGAGCCAGTGGGCTGACCAGCTCAGCTATCACTCAGGGTCAGATCCAGGGCTCTGAAACCTATATCATCTGTGAACAGTTGGGACCTATGAGAGGGCCAGTCCTGCCGATCTAAGCTTCTGTATCTCCATGTCACAGAGCAACAACAGGGTAACCTGGAGGAGTCCCCGTGAGAATCCAATATTGATGGTGTCACGGAAGCCAGAGGCCTTGAGCCAAATCACTGACTCGTTGCGATGAACATTTGCAAGTGAAGATGTGTGGACAGAGGATATATGTGGGGCACTCTGCGGCGTTCGACAGCCTCCATGATGAGTGCTTCCCACGCCTTGTTGTTTTTTTCTTTCTTTGCTATTGTTTGTTTCTATGTGTTTTGTTTTTATTTGGGGGCAGAAGTTTCAAGGGTGAAGGGCAGATATGAGGGAACAGAGAGATGAGTGGGACTGGGCTGCATGATGTGAAACTCAGAAAGAATCAATAAAAAGTTTTTTTTTTAAACCCTCCAATTTCCATTATATTTGCGCTATGGGTTTTTTGATATATACAGTCATGAACATATGATGACTTTCTGGTTATCACTTTGTCATGACTTCTAACATAATTACTTTGAGGCCAGACAATGTACTGTATATATCATAAAGTTGATTTTGTTGAGATTTACTCTGTGGCACATCTTGGTATTTGGTTCATTTCGGTAAATACTGGGTGTGGTTTTCTTAATTGAGGGATTTTTTTTTTATGGAGAAATACTCAGCGTAGTGCTCAGATTTCAGATGACTATAGCGTAACAAGACTTGTCAAGTGCCTGCATCTGTGAAACTCTCCCATAAAGTTACACGATGTTTTCACCAACTCTGCAAGTTCTCTTGTGCTCCCTCCCCACATGCTTTGATGCTTTCTGTTGCTGTGATAAAATTCCTTGACATAAAAGCTACTTAAGGTAAGAGTCAGGTAAGGTTTATTTGGCTGGCAATCCAAAGTCACAGTCCTTGATTTTGGGGAAGTCAAGGCAGGAACTCAAACAGCTGGTCACATCCCATCAATAGTCAAGAACAAAGAATAAATGTAGCCTGCTTTGCTCTCAGTCAACTTTCTCCTCTCTTAAGCAGTTCAGTTCAGGAGCCCCTGCCTAAGGAAGGTGCCACCCACAGTGGCTGGGTCCTATTGTGTCTATTAACAATCAAGATGGTCCCTGTAAACATGTCACAGGTGAACTTGGTCCACATACTTGTGTATTAAGACTTTCTGGCTGGAGAGATGGCTTAGGGGTGATGAATGCACACAGCTCTTGCAGAGGACCCAAGCTGGGCTCTCAGCACCCACATCAGTCTGCCTACAACTACCTGTAACTGTAGCTCCGGGATCTGATGCCTTCTTCTGGCTGGACACACACACAGACACACAGACACACACTTAAAAATAGAGTAAATCTTAAGAAAAAAGACTCTTCCTATGTGGTTCTCTATTGTGTCAAGTTGAGTCAAACTGACAGTTAAAACTAACCAGCATGTTCTTCTCCTCTCATCCTAGGGCCAGGCACCACTGGTTAGTTGGACTGGCCCCAGAATCCCACATAAACTATTCATACCATATACAACAGCTTCCTGGCATGCAAGGGTTTCCAGACGTAACCGTATCATTGCTTATATCAGCAGGTCTGTTTCTTCTAATCACCGACTGCCATCCGTTTCCCCTCCAGGTCACTATGTCATTCATGAACTGGCAGGAATAAAGCTTGCTTTATTCCCAACCTGATTTCTAAGAAAAACATTCGTGTGGCAGGGGGAAGGGACAACAGGGTCTCATGCAGCCCAGACTGGTCTCAAACTAGGTAAGTAACTGAGGACTGCCTTGAACTCCTGATCCTCCTACTTCCACCTCCCAAGTGCAGGAACACAGGTTTCTACCACCACACCCACTTTCTGTGTGGCTGAGGATGGAACCAGAGCTCCACACATGCCAGGCAGGCTCTCTGTTTAGGTGTCTTCCCCATTCCTAATCTAGGCTGCTGTTTTAACTTTCCCCTATGGACCAGGGGTGGAACTGGTCACCGTCCAGCAGACAGGCGGTAAGAATCCATTAGAGGGCTGGGAGGTGGCTGGGCGTAAATCATTTACTGCACAATCATTCAGAGTCTGAGTCTGGGTCTCCAGCACCCATGTGAAAGCTCCACAAAACAGGGCCCACATCTGTAATCCCAGCACTCCCACGGGGAGCTGGGAGGTGGGCATAGGAGGATGCCTAGAGGCCGGCCTGCTGAATACAGAAGACAAGACTCTGTCTCAAGGTGGAAGACAAGGACCAACCCTCAAGGTTGCCCTCGGACCTTCACATATGTGCTGTGGTACGCATGCACCCATGGTCTGTCTGTCTGTCTGTCTGTCTGTCTGTCTGTCTATCTCTTTCCCTCTCTCTCTCACACACACAAGAATCTGCTAGATTGCTTTCTAACTTGGTGTACCTTTTAAGTCCTCTCTAAAATTCCTGCTCTATGTATAGTTGACACTAGAACTGGCCACATTTTGCAGTGTCAGCCATCTTGGTAGGTGTGTGTGTGTGTGAGAATGATCTGTTCTATAGACAGAGGATGCACTGTTTCACAGATGTTCGAGAGCAAAGCCTGCTGATTACACTGTCTGAATCATGCACACACCCACTTATTTCTGTCTTGGCTCTTCTTTCTATCATTTACTCTGAGTCACGGTAAAAATCTTCTATGACAAGGAACTTGTTGATGTTACCTTTAGTCATTTACTCCATATTTTATATCTCTGTGACTCTGTTAAATGATACATAAAAATTTGTAATAGTCAGGTGTGGTGGTGCATGCCTGTCATGCCGGCACTTGGGAGGTGCAGGCAGGAGGATCAGGAACGTAAGATCATCCTTGGCTACATAATGAATTCCAGGCCAGTCTGGGCTACATAAGATCCTGTTTCAAAGCAAAACAAAATAAAGAACAACAAGAGTAAAGAAACAAGTAAAACAAATAAAAGGTGGTAGAAATGTCAATACTTCCTTTATGGGTACATCCACAAATCACACACATACACACACACACACAGTCCTGTATATATATGATTTGTGGCCATATATACATAAATATATAACATATAAAATTTATATAAATACATAAACACACATGTTATAATAAATATTATATAAAATATATAATATATTTAAATATATAAAATACATATTTTTTTTGTTTGAGGCTGGGTCTTTTTATGCAACCTGGGCTAGCCTTGAGTTTTTGATCTCTCTACCTCAGCCTCCTGTATGCTTGTATTACAGATATGCACCACCTTGCTTTAAATTATGCAGTTTATCATTGAAGATCTCAATAGCAGTCTTCTCCTAGTATACATGCTCAGTGTGCCCAGGTCTCTGTCTCTGGGTCTCACAGCAGGCATCTTAGATTTTTCCCATCTGCTTCCAAGTACAGCAGCTGAGCCCGGACATAGATACAACAGAAAGAAAAATGGAGGCTGAAGAAATGACTCAGGGTTGAGAGCACTGGCTGCTCTTACACAAAACAGGGGTTGGATTCCTAGCAACTGTGTCCAGTGGCTTACCACTCCCTGTAACTCCAGTTCCAGGGGATCTGCTGCCCTCTTCTGGTCTCCAGGGGCATCGTACTTACACAAGCACACACACACACACACACACACACCACCACCACCACCACCACCACACCACACAAATACACATTAATAAAAAATAAATCTCAAAATCAAAACGGAAGCAGACCAATCACGAAAGACATTGTAAAGCTGGAAATCTCACTTTTGGAAATGAGAGGGCATCGCAGAGCCCGTGTCTCTTAGCCACAGGCTCTTGCCCAAAGAACCCAGAGGCCTCCTGGTCTATGCTCGCATTGCATGGATGGAAACCAAGTCACACAGGGCAAAAGCCATGGATTGCAATATCCCATGAGTGTGAAGGGAGGCAAGGAGGAAGCTTCAAACAGAACTGAGAGGCCTTTTATTTGTGGACCCCAAGAAGGAGACACAAGGCGTTTGGGGGTGGGGGCGAGCCTAACAGTGGCAAAGGCAAGGCTGGGTCTACACTGGGCTACTAGAGGACACTACACACAGGGGGAGATGCAGATGGGATCCATGCCTGTGTCTGAGGGAGGAGGTCGTGTCTGGATCCCTGTGTGAGGGAG